CAAATGGAAAGCAGAAAGTGCATCTCTCCCCGGCTCGAGAAGCGAGATTCCCACGCGACTCCGAGAAAAGAAACGTAGCGGCGTTGCCTGCCGGAACCAGAGCGGAGACTCGTGCAAAAGCGCTCGGAACATTTACATCGGTGGCGCAAGAGCGGAGGTGAACGGTACGTAAGGCCGTTACCGTGGGCACGTCGACGAAAAATCACGCGCGCGAGTTTCTGGCCCCCCGAATCGTCGTCGCTCCGCACTCCGGCGAGCGACACGAGGCTGCGCAGGGACGACGAGGAACGCAACGAATAAGAGGATGAGAGAGAGAGAGAGAGAGAGAGAGAGAGAGAGAGAGAGCTCGCCAGCGGCTGCAATTAGCGCGCGAGCGGAACCAATTAATTTTACCTTTGAACAATCAGAACGAAAAGCTGAGAACTGTAAAAATAAGCGAAGCCGCGGTCTGTTTATCACGGCGAGTCGCGAGCGCGTGCAAAGAAGAGAGCAGAAGAAAAAGGAAAAAAAAAAAACGCAGGCGAGCCCCATGGTTATGACGCGCGTCATCCCAAACGTCGCGCCTGCGCAGCGCGCTCGGAATCGGCTTGATCGCGCGCGCGTCTGGCCAGCCGTTGTACGAGCACTTCGCGAGGTCTATCTCGCGATCTCGCTGCAGTTGCAGCGACTCGCACGGGGCTCCCGCGCTGCCCACGACGGATACGCGAGGGATACGGGGGAGCTACGCGCGCGCGGTAGCACGCACGGCGCGTCTGGTATACTAACGGACGTACGCGCCGTCGAGGAGGGGAGCGCGCGTCCTCTCTCTCTCTCACGGGCGCCTACGCCGCGTAGCGGAGGCCCCCACGAAAAGACGAGCCAATCTTCGCGAGCGCGCGCACAGTGCCGCGCTCGTAGGTGGTCCGCGCGCCTCGTCGGCCTTGGGATGAGACGCGCGACGGGCTAACGCACTCGGGCCGCGCACCCGTCGGAGTTGGCTTTTCCAGCGGCCGATTTCGCAGGCGAGTCGATTTCGTGCCAAATCGCCGCGCGCGCGAAGCCCCAGTGAACCACTTTTGCCCGCGGCCGCCAGCCTGCTTCCTTTTCGAGCTTAACGCACGCTAAATCTCGGCTTCGGCCAGCCGGCGGCAGCTTATCTGCTCGATCGGCTCTGTGTCTTGCGCCGCGCGCCGGGCTCCTCGGCGGTTCGTTCACCCCGCAAGCGGAAAAGATTTGCCCCCTTCTCTAATCCCACGCCGCACGCTAGTACACTTTACGGGGGGAGGAAAAAAATAATAGAGGAGCCACACACGCGCTATCGATCGGACAGTCAGGTGTATGCACCTGATGCTCTCCACGGACTCTTGTTTTTTTTTTTCTTTTCTGTTATCTTATCGACGGAAGTGTGTCACGTCGAGTGTGTAACACGCCCACAACTATATACTTCGCGTAGACTAGAGCTTGACGAGTCAATGTTTAATTCACATTAGGCTTGTTGCCATCTCGTCTTCTCCTGTGAAATCGCGAGTGTACAAGCCGCACTATGCTGCCGTGGTCAATGAGCCGAGATAAGTGATGTTCTCTGGAGGCCTGGTTATGAGAGAGAGGAGGAGGGTCGTGGTCGTTGTTCCTTTTTTTTCGACAATTGACGCTTAATTGTGGCAATCAATTAGATCATGTCTCGTAAATCCATCCGCTTTACGCCATAATCACGTTACGAGATCCAATTTTTCCAACTAAACGAAGGCGTTAGCTATAGATGCCTCGACTTACGTGTGTCGAACGAACCGTACGCATCGGCGACGATTGCAGCTATCGTCGCGGAGTTGCGAAACCGCAGCGCTGTTTATGAATGTACCGCGCGACGACGAGTGAATCACTCGGTACCGATCATCTGTCCCATGATTCACTTCGGAAATCGCAATCAACCTAACGAGAACGAACGCATTCCACGCTTCGTCTATTTGGTTCTTTCGTTTCTAACGTGGAAGGAAGGAGCCGTTCGCGCGCCCAGCAAGACGCGGGCGATTTTCCGGCGCTGGGAATCGCTGGCGCGCCGCCCAGAAGACAATGCGCGCGGGAGTGCGAGGAAAATTTTCGTACTGCGAAACTGCGCTGGCCTACTTATCTCGGTGCCACAGTTATCTTTCCTCGTTCGTTCGCGTGCAATTGGTTTAGAAGCCTGCCTCGGAAGCTCCGTTTTTTACGCGAATCCAGCTCGGCCTTGAAATTTTTATCGCGGAACCGTATGGCAATCTAAAATAAGCGACTTTCACGAAATCTAAATACCGCCAGAAAACATTGTACACTTTCAACGAATGCGCTGATGAAAACTGTTCGCTTTAAAATCATCCCGAGTAACGTGAATATCCCCTCCGACTGAGCTGAAACGCGCGCTAAGCGCTCCGATTATGCATCGCGGGCTCGCGCCTCAAAGTCCACATACGCGGCTCATCAAATAAAGTCACGTCGCGCCCCGAGGCCATAAATAACGCACAACAATGCACGCGACGCGTCCTTACAAAAATCTCCCCGATTTTCCCGCGTCAATATTTACACCCACGGGGGAGATTTACGAGCGACGCCTCTCCAGGATTACGCGCGGCGGTAGCGGCCCACGACCAACCTGATCCATTTTCGAAGCAAGGACATTCCAGCGCGAGCGCGCAGTGTGGAGCTTCTAGATTAACGGCGGCCGCGGCAACGTGTACGTAAAAGCCTCGACGGACGTCTCAATCCGTCAATCGTGTTGCGGGGAGCGGCGGCGGAGGGGGGGGAGGGGCGTCCCACTAACTTCTCGTTTTTCTTTTTATGCGCCGTGCGCGCATAATGGGTTAACGCGCCGCGCTACTGCCGCGTCGCGCACGCGGGCTCGCACGCGAGAATGTGAATTGCGTAACGGAAACTCATTTTCGAGAGATCACTTCGCTCCGTAATTGCGAGCGGCTTGCGCGCATACCTCGGAGCCGCTTCCGAGGAGGACTAAAGTGAAATATCATCGCGCGCGTGGAGAACGAATTCGCGCGGACGCGACCTCGCGGCCACTGGCGGACCGCTCATTACAGCGGGAGCCGCGCCGAGGAAAGGGACGTTATAGCGACACGTGGTACTGTTCTTCGGACGGAAACAAAAGAAACGAAAGATGAAAAAAGAAAGGCGAGACGTCGCGTAGCAGGGAAACCGGAGAAGGGTCTCCCACGTGCATACGCTTGACATCAGGTAGCTTCCCTCCAAAAAAAAAGCCCCGCTATAGGCTTCTCTCCAACCTACACCTTCTATTCTTTTTAACGGTACAATAAACATTGAAGGCGTTAAATTGCCGCAGTCATCAGCTCTTCACGAGGAGAAGAAGCTTGACGTGGGCCTCCTCGTGACTTTCAGACAGACGCATGCGATTTCGACCCTCGATTTTCCTTTTTATTGTGAACGTGGACATGACTCTATCATAAGTCATAGCGGAACGCTCGTTCGGGTGCGTTGGCTCTTTCCGTCGCGTGCTCGAGATTTTCATTTGAGATTGCCGGCGTCGATAAATTGTGCCTAACGACTTATTGGAATTTTTCGTACGCGCGCGTCCTTCGCGACACCTTGGAATAGATTTCCTCGCTGGAATTTTCACTTCTCTTAAAACAAAGAGTACCGTATCGTAAGCATATTACACGACGAAGGCTCTCTACGGCTGTCAGCGCGCGCTGCAGGCGTATGAATAATGCACGAGGACGGAAAGAAGGAGTATGGAAGAAGCGTCAAATTAGTAGAGCCAGTGCGATAAAGCGTTTTCATTTTGAAAGCCTATCCTCATCCCAGCAACAACAATGGAACGTACGTGATGATTTTCAAGGCAATCTCAGTGTGTGCGTCTCCGACGCCAACCGAGAATGTGTTTATCTGTTAGAAAAGGTGCAACATATCCATGCGTCCGCGCGTCGAAAAGATCGATCGATGAGTCAGCCGATAAGCGCGTACCGCGCGAGCGAGCAAATGAAATTTTACGTAATCGCGCGCGCGCCAAAGAAATTTCACTTTTCTCCCGAGCGCGTGCGACGAAACGACGCCGTAGCGACGGACGTTCCCTTTTACTACGCGCCCAGCGTCGTCGTCGTCGTCGTAATTCCGCTACAACTACGACTTCGCGCTCTTTGTCTCTCTGTATACTCTTTCAAACCTTTCTCTTCTCCTGGCGCTCGCTCACTCGGTCGCTCGCTTGCTCGCTTTTAGTACATGCAACCAAACAAAGAGCATTCCTGTTGCGGCGCGCCGGCTTTTCCGCGACGCCGCAGGAGAAAAACGTAACGGCGAGGGGGTGCTAATATGACCGCAACAAGCGCAGCGTACACGATACACACGGTATCATGGCTAGCTTGGTCTCCGACTATGGGGGAGAGAGAGAGAGAGAGAGAGAGAGAGAGAGAGACGACGACGACGCTCTCTACGTCCACGCTTGTCATTGACCTTACGATGTGGCCGCCGCTGCCGTGCTAACGTACGCTTCTTCTTCTTCTTCTCACTTGGATGTCTCGAGCACGTCGCTTTTAACCCTGCGTGCATTCTCAATTTCGGACGCGCGCGCTCAAATCCGAGCTTGCTCACATTGTGCTCGATACACCGATGCAGGCCGACGGATTAAAATGGAAAATCGAGCTCGACGTAAGCCCGACAAAAATATTACTCTCCATTGCGGTACAATAAAATTTGACCGACGCCACTTTCGAATTTCGCATCAATCCGTTTTTCACGCTCGTCGCTTCATAAGCAAGTACGGCAGCGACGCATCGAGAGAAAACACAAGGCTCCGCGCTAGCAAAAAACAGTTTCCAGAGCCTAGAGCGATTACCTCCGACTGGCGAACGCTTAGCCGGCAATTAGCGCGGCAATAACTAACCTAGCACGATCCGCAAGAGGACATTCCCGAGACATTTACTTAGGATTTTCCGTTCCGAGCTTGGATAGGCCTGCGAATATCGCTGCACGGCGTTGCACTCGGCGGGCAATCGGCAAGAGTAAGTAATCGTTGAACTGACCTCAGCGATGACGGTGCCACGCACGGTGATACCAATCATCGGCGCGAAGCGCACCTCCACGCCGGCCTCCACTCTCAATTCAGCCGCGTGCTCCACGTACAAATCCTCCCTCAAGACGTAGGGACTCTTGATCCTCTCGAGGGTTATGTGGTTCTTGACGATCTGGCCGCCGGGCAGCTCGGTCAGGCCACGATAGCCCGACTCGACGCTGTTGGAGCTCGCGTAGTTGGGCTCCGTGTAGTAGATGGTGCCTGGCTCCGTGACGCTGTCCTGCTGCAGCGTGGCCTGGCCGCCGGCCGCCAGCAGCAGGCACAGCAGCAGAGCCGCGGTGAGCGCGCGCGACATGTCCGGCCCGCTCAGAGTCGCATGGAAGAGGGTCCCGGTCTGTCTTTGTCCGCGCGCGGTTCCCCGCCGACGATCAGTTTCGCGTCGCGCACCGTCAGTGGACGAGCTGGACGAGCGGCATCGCCGAGTCACGGGCACGGCGGCGGAGCGAGCGCTGCGCCCAGGACGAGCGCTCGGCGAGGCGACGCTCTCCCTCGCGTCCTGCTGGCGCCGAGCGTCCCGCGCATCGCGCCTCGGCCGACCCGCGCGGCCTTCGCCCCGCGCGCTTTTCACTTTCCGCTCACTTTCGCGCTGCGTGCGAGCGGAGCGGCGCGACCGTTGGGCCTCCTCTTCGAACGCAAAAAACCGCCGAGCGCCGAGTCGCGGGCGAAACTGGTTTCTCGGCGGCGGTGGCGGCCAGTCTTGCGTGCGGCGACGTGCGCGAGCTGCTCGCCGGGCGTTGGGCGCGGTTGGACTGGCGCGCGAGCGACCGACTCCTGGCGCGGCGAACGCGCGCCCCGCTGCCGCTGCCTCGCTGCTGGCGGTGGCGGCGGACGCGGTCACGTGATACTCCGACCGAGTCACGCAGGTTGGGAAACAGGTGAGTCCCCTCCGCCCGGCCGTCTCCCACTCGCCGCCTGCCTTCTGTCCTCGTTGCACTCGCCTCGGCCGACGCTCTGCCGCTTTTTCTCTCTCCTCTCTCTCTTTCTTCGTATCAAGTCCTGAGCACGCTAGCGCGCGCGCGCTGTATGCACACCTGAACAGCGCGTAAGACGAACGTTCGTCCTGCAATTATGCTTTATTCTCGGCGCCTCTCGTTGTGGCTCGCAACATTATCGCGTTTCGAACGCGCGAGCTTCATCCGTGGCTTTCGAGCCAAGAATATCCGACTCGGCAATCAAATTCGCTCCCAGCGCAATCATTCGATTTTGCTAAAAGTGTCAAGTGCAATTAGTGACGGTCGTTGAAAACTGACTCGTGTGCGTGGGTAAAGGTGGCCAATGAGGTCAATGCGAGTCCAAACAAGTCTCCACTACTTTGGTCAACGAGGCAACGCCGCAGGTATTATTACGAAGAATAAACTCAATGCACTTGGCTTGCAAGTTTTCACGTGAAAGCTTTCGGTTGACCACTCGGTCCATACAAATCATATTTTCATTTGAAAGTTGAACCGTGCCTTCTTATCTATTGCGAATGACATCTACTTCCTAAGTCCATTTAGTGAAACTCAGAATGCTAAGTTGCGCCGAATGTTTTTCATTTGACACATTCTACGGGCTGCGTATACACTTGAAAAAATAGCAGTGACGAAACTTAAAAAAACGCTGAAACGCTAAAGTTATCTCGAAGTCTGTAGTACAAATAGTTGTCTCACCAATCAACGAAAAATACCGCCCTCGAAAGAACAAACAAAACGAAAGTGGCACTGCACTAATGTCAAAGTCGCTAACAATAACAACGGCAAACTCGTCTGCCTTATCCAGAAAGCTGAAAATTCCTCGGCGTGCGGTTAATTGCAAACCAACCCAATTGCAAAATACAGTTAGAAAACTTGGGTGTGCGGCAGTTCTCTTGGATGCACACGAGTGCGTTCAGCGCGGCTGCAGTCCATCAAAGCTCGGCGCCCGAGAACTGAGTACTCTCTCGCGGGCGTCGTCGCGTCGATCTGCCGCCGCGTAAAAGTGGTGTGCTCTGTTGTGCGTTCGCCGAGGCTGACTAGCCGAGTCCGTCGTCATGGTAACGCTCGCGCCTACCCCAGGCCTAACCATCCGCTCGGACGAGGATCACTGGTTGCTCGTACGCAAGGAGACCTCGCCGCCGCGTCTCTCGCGCGCGCGATCGACTCGGCCCGTTCGCCGTCGGCCGTGTTTCGAGCGACGTTTGTTTACCTGTACGGAATAAAGCCAGTCGACGCGCGTATGAAATTAGAATCTGTCCTACGGGGCTGCGTAGGTATACGTGTGCCTCGTCGCCGCTGAAAATTCAGTCGAACGTAGAATTCCAGTCGACACGGTATACGTTCATGACAAAGAAGTCGGTCCAAGTCTAACCGACTCGCAACAACTGTGCGGATGCTTCGCTAGGGTGCGCGTTCGCGATGGACTTTTACAAAATGATGGAAATCGATCCGCCGACGCACTTCCCGACCAAGGACGACGAAATCAAGTACTGGATGGAAATGGCACAGGAAATGCATCAGAGGTTAGTGTTGGCTTTGGTTTCGGCTTTGCCGGCGTGGCCGCTCGTCAGTCCTCGGCCTTGTTTTCTCCAGAAACGAAGCTACCGCGCTCGAGCTGCACGAGTATCAAGAGAATTCTCAGTTCTTGGAGAAAGAATTGGAGTCGTCGTTTTGGGAATCCGATCAGAAGAATCGTAATTTGACTCATGAAAATGTCACGCTGACCGCGCAGAACGAGGATCTTCGAGCGAAATTGAAGGCACAGCTCGCCGCCTACACGACTCTGCAGAACGAGATGCAAGAACTCAAAGCGAAAAATATTGAATTAGTCAATAATATTAGAAAATTGGAGCAGAGAAACGATGATTTGGAGCGAGATAACAGGTACGCCCTTCGCGCCTACTTTTACTTTGTGAAGTAATTGGCGTTGGTTCTGTCTTGATTCTATTCGACATTGTTCAGAGCGTTGAAGTTGACGGATGAGGACAGGGAGACTCGGTACAACGACGCCATTGAAAAAATTGCGCTGCTCGAGACTGACCTGCTGGAAGAAAACTACGCGAAATTTGATCTGGAGCGATTGGAAAGAGAAAACGAGAGTGAGCGACGACCTTAAAATTCTTTCGGCAGGGCAGTCGAATCGATGGCCCAAGTTTCCTTGCTAAAAATCTTTCGTGATTTCAGCGCTGCGACAACGGATCGAAAGCATGCAGGAAGAGAGCAAAAACGATTTCTTGCGGTTTCGCAAGGACATCGATCAGTTACGGTCGCCCTCGGATCATGCGCCCTGCAATTTAACTCACTCCGCGTCTTTCCACGCGTCCACGGACAATCGGAGGTAGCCGTGCAATTTACTTGGTTATCGCTTATGCGACCCATGTGTCAATAAATATTCGTTTCTCTTTATTTTACCAGCGAACCGGAAGTAAAACAAAGCATCACCTTCACGATAGACAATTTTGTGAAACCATCGCCGGCGAAAAGAAAACGTAAATTTCATCGTAAATTACACATTAGTAATTAGTTTTTGCATTCTCAATACTCGTTATCGTTTATTAAACAGTGCCAGAGGACATTTCAATAATACCGCAAGTTCACGGAGCGCCCATGGGAAAGTACAACACCGAGGGCAGAGGCTTGTCGCAAGCTTTCGCGCGTTACAACCGACAACAGCAGGAAATGAAGCGCAATGAGCTGAACCATAACGTCGAGATGAGAACAAAAAAAGTTAAGGAAGAGGAAAAACGTCAGCGCATCCTTTCGTCTTTCGTCAAGCGACTTCGTAGTGCGCGCAATCAGCTTCTGCGTAGAAATGAGTGAAAAATTTCTACATTCATCCTATTCATCCATTCTCGGTTATGATAAAAGCTTATTGGTTTTTTTGTTATGCCTATCGCGATATTCCACGGTCGTCAATTGACCGAACTCATCAGTCCAGTTTTTAGTTTTTTATACACAAATCAAACGACACGAACACGGGCTTATGTCCAAAGTTACATATATTATGTGCGTTGCGTAAACGTTTGCCAAAAGGTATTTGATTATGTAATGTCTTAAGTGTTTTATTTTATTTTTATACAATCGAGCGTAAAATTTCTTTTTGCATGATTTTCAAAATAAGCTCTTTCAAGTTCACTTGATGTCAAAGTTTGCGTTTTGTAAGATATCGCTAGTACTTACTATACGTATTGAAGTATATATATAGAAATTTTCGTTCAAGAGTTAATCGCGATAGTTTTATAGAATTGATTAAATTTTTATTTAATGTAGCTACTGTCAATAAACTTGTATTAATTTGGTATTATATATTTTTTTAAAACTGGATAAAGAGTTGTATAGTTTGTCGTAGATTCAGTTACGTTATAAATGTTTAAATAACTATTAGTTTAAAAAAATTTTCATAATTGAATTTTTTATTCGAATTGTGAATTTAATTCAGCTATGATATTTTGTTAATAAACTTTCCCGAAAATTCTAAACACAACCAGAAGTAGAAGAATAATGACCTCCCACTGTGACAAAGCAACAAAATTTTATCAAACATCATGTTTCGTTCCTCGTTACATAATACACGTTTAATCGTATGATACACATATCAGCAACATAAAAAAAATATCTTTATCAATGCACAACAATGACGGTTGAAAAACGGCAAAAAAGACTCTCTATAATACAGTCGGTTGGCGAGAGATCGAATCAGTAATAAAAAGTTTTTTCCTCGACAGCAAAATTATAATGACTTAGTTGATAGGCGGCAGCTCTTCTGGGGCCCACTTGATATCGACTGCTTTGCCAGACCTTGCCGATTCTTCGCAAGCAGAGGCGATCTTACTGACGGCCAAAATTTCTTTGGCGTGAACGGGCACCTGCCGCTTGCCATGAACAACGTCGATGAACTGTTCCATCTCCTGGGCGTAGGCGTTCCGGAACCGACTTGGAAATGAGTACCAAATAGGCGGACTGCGTATGCCGTTCTGTCCATACTGAGTAGTTACACAGTGGATTGGTTGCTCGTTGGCAGCGGCAATCATGCCTTTGGGTCCGAAAATCTCGAGCCGCTGGTCGTAGCCGTAGTTTGAATTACGTGACAAATCGACCAAACCCACCGTTCCCGAGGGGAATTGGAACACCATGGCTACAGTATCAAAGTCGTTGATTGCTTTTATCTCGGGGATGTTGGCGCTCGCACACACGGACACCTACAATTAAAATAACAAATCATCGTTACTCGCATGAAAATTGCGATAGCAATGAAAATGAAAAAAGAGATATTGAAAGCACGAAAATTCGATGCAACAGGAGGTCGAATATAACAAAGTTGAACGATACTTGTATGTAAATGTTAATAGGCGATCTTACCTTAGTAGGATACTCTCCGAGCATATGCGTAATGAGGTCGATGTCGTGTACAGCGCAATCGTGAAAAATACCGCCGGAGATTTTAAGATACTCGATGCTGGGCAGCGGCGAGTCACGAGCTGTGGTACGGATGATGTGCGCGTGGCCGATTTCGCCAGCCCTCAGCCTCTCGCGAACGTTGCAGTAGCTCGGATCAAAGCGACGATTGAACGCGCAAAACAGCGGCTTGCCGTTCCTCGCTGCAGCCTCGTAACACTTGGCCGTTGATTTTGGATCCTCGCCGATGGGCTTCTCACTGAATACCGCCTTCTTAGCGTCCAGTGACTTTGAGATTATCTCTTCGTGGGTGAACGTTGGCGAACATACGATTACGGCTTCAACTCTGTTCAAATTACATTATCGCTTTACTTGCCATGCATTCTTCTTCAATTCGAATGTTCGTCGGCATTCAAATTTCATCGATGAAAAATTATACGTACTTTGGATCGTTGTAAACTTGCTCAGCTTGTTTGCTGGCAATAATTTTGGCATCGACTTTCCAGTAGCTCTTGATGGCGCTCCATTTCGACTCCGAATCCTCGACGATGTACAGAACTTTGACACGTGGATTGTTTGCGATGTTCGACATATGAATCGAGCCAGCCCGGCCCAAACCGAAAATCGCCACTCCTAGAACCTTCTCGAGCTTCTCATCAGATTTCAAAGCAACGTCTGTCAAATACCTATGGTAATAGAGAAAAAAATTTATAAATATGAACAAAGCGTTCTCTGCCGAATACAAAATTATTTTTTGTTCAATAAAGTAAATGCGAAAAATCAATGTGAACTTACTTTTTGAAAAGATAATCTTCGGGACTGGCTTCTGGTGTCTTTTTGATATACGGAGATGCTTCCCTGAATTTTGCTGTTGCCATTTTTGTGACGTTTGATCAAATAACGGGGGAAGGCAATTCCAAGCTCGTCGTGAAATGCTGGATGGGAAGTTCGATGATGAATTACTGGGTTATATATTGATATGAGACGAATGAGAGACTTTGGTGGGAGATGTGGCAAAATGCTCGCAACTACTGCAGCGCATAAATGTGATATGATTGACAAGTATGATTAGTATTTAAGATATAAGACTCGCGTACCTTAGCCTGCTTTTTATTGCTACAAATTTTTATACGACGTAGTGACAATAGTGCATGGATTTTTTTTTCATTTGGTTTTAAACCGAATACAATGAAAATTAAGTTTTCATAAAATATCACAAACTTGTTAGTTAAACTTATTATGAATTATCGATAAATTTTATTAGGACTAAATTTTCAAGTACAATATAACACGATTTTTAAATATACCTATATAGATTCTTGATGAGTACTTGCGTATTTGCGATAATTACTATTTTTTAGGATAAGCTGTTGATCAGCTCTCGTCATCGATTTTAAACTTTATCATTTTTCATTATTGAATGACGTGCTTAGAAATTTCCACGATGATCGTACACTTTTCAACTTATTTTTTTTACAATACCCATTGAAAGATTACATCATTAAAAATGATAAAAATGTAATAATATAGAATTAGACAAAGTTATTTGTAACTCTGTATAAATATTATTTATGATAAGACTATTTTATATTGTAATCAATTTTTACATCAACGTAACGCAAAGTTTCTACTCTTTTTATTTTATTTTTTGATTTCATTTTTGCAATAAAAATAATTTCTATGTTAAATAAGTGATATGATGTTCTCGATGTTTTCGGTGAACTGTACCTAGTACGACAGGCATAACAGCTTTGATAAAAGTTGTATATTTTAGAAATGCAAACAAAAAATTAAAATTCTTACTTGAACACAACGCTGATGTGAATATCATTTTGTTATCTGAAGATTCGATTCTGTCTAATGTTCCAGTAAGCTTACACCAACAAATCCTAATGAAAAAATCAGTCTAGTAAAGATTTCCAAGCTATTGTTTGATGTTCAATGAGATTTCGTTGAACAGCTTGTCGGACACAACCCTAATAGACATGTTTAAAAAATGTTTTTTAAACGTTTTATCAACGTGTAAAATGTCTCAAGACTGGAAAACTATTTTCGATCATAAACATAGTAACGAAAAAAAATTTATTGTTAAATGCTCCCATAATCCTGTCCTAAAAAATTCCTAAATGTTAGCAGAAATCCTACAGAAAATCGAACAACTATCATTGCACGTTGAATACGTACAGTATAGGTAAGAATAATAAAATAATTGTATAAATGTATTTTGTAATTGAAAAAAAGGACGCAAGTTACGCGTTTCATCAATTTGGTTATCAGTCAAGAATATGCTAATTTCAACGTGGTCTTGACGAAAAATTGTATAACAGAGGAGCACAGTTCCCTTCGAATCCATTAAACCCAGTGAAGCATTACATCGCCTGTTTGGAGAATTGGTTCCCAACCGGCAAACTTTGTCGCCTCAACGTTTGCGCAACCGATGAAGCGTAAGTCCGCTTTGTTGGATGCGAAGCTTTGCTCTGACGTTAGTTCGATTAGTTGTCGGTAGATTATCCCAATGTTGGGACAGCGCTGGGGAACGTTGATGAAACGAAAGATTTTTGCGCCGCTTGCGATTGTAGCGGACGTACGGTCCACGATTGCTCGAGTGTAACTTGCAAACGACACGATTATAAATTGGTAAAAATTTTAGTTGGCTACAAAAGAAACAACAGAAATATCGACGATAGGAATGGCTTGAATACGAATTTTGCTACTTTCTAAATCATAACTCCCGCACAAATAAGCATAGTATATTGACATTATAATTTTAGTTCTGGTAAAGTTTGCCACTTTATAGAAAATGAAAGTTAGATATTTTGTTCTATAAAAAATATTATTTATGGTAAGACTGTTTTATATTGTAATCAATTTTTACAGCAACGTAACGCGAAAAAGCTACTCTTTTTAAATATTCACTGTAAATTCTTGTTTGAATACTCATCGGTACACTTATGTAATAACTTCCAAAAGTTATAAATATAGTTTTATCTATATTTAAGATTAATTTATTCAATATAAGCCAATTAGTTATGCGATTAAAAAATTCTTTCATTCTATCTATTGTGACATTCCAATCTTTCATTTCGCTATCACTCGATATTAAAACTGTATCATCCGCATATGTTATTACAGAATCTAATGGCATCTCTTCCAGAAGGTCATTAATGTAAAGAATAAACTAGAGCGGGCCAAATGTAGTACATTGAGCTACGTCTATATCAATCTTCTGATAAAAACTGATTACATTATTATTCTTACCTTGTGTTTTCTATTTGTCAAGTAACTTTTTAATAGATCATAAGCATTTCCTTTGATACCACATCGGTAACATTTTTCACTCATTCATTATAATTTTTAATTTCACCAATCAGTATATCAATTGAAATATTTACGTTAACAAAAAGCTCCAATTCACCTTCACAAATATTTTTTAAAGTGTATTAAAATAAATATTATTTGTGTTATTTACTATTGTACAATATTATTAAAGCTTATTATAACCGAGTAATGATCAGTAATAGTGTTTAATAACTTGAAAATTTAGAACTGAGATTATCTGATTTTACAAAAATGTTGTCAATGCCAAATTCTGTCGTATCGCTGTTAACTAGTCTAGTAATTTATTTTATATATTATTTGAAATCACGTTTAAATAAGTACGTTGGAAAATCTTAGTTAATCACGTCCACAACACAAAATATTTGAATTAATACATTCAATGAAAAAAATTATGAAAAAATTCATACTAAATTTATAATTTCATTTTGTTATTAGGCATTTGTGTTTAAAAATGTACTAATCAATTAAATATTGTCATTATCTATTTCTAGTGGTATTAGAATAATATTAATATGGATTCTGTGTGGAAAAAATGACGAATACAATAGTGTTAGAGCATGTAGATACAAAATAAATAGTACTATTTGCATAAAAATATGTTATAAATATTAATATCGTTGATGAATAAATTTTGTTTCCAGTACTGAAAATAAAGAAGGAAAAAGGCAAGCCCTGTGCACGCTTTTAAGCTTCGTCATTCAATATTTTTCCTTTCATAGTGTCTAATAAATATCATTACATTTTTATATAAATCTCTAAAACCTTGTTTGATGAACCGAATAAACGTTCTATATGTGATGAAATTCAAACTGATTTAACATTATCTCCTTTGAGCAATATTACTTTTAAAAAATGTTTACCAGCAAAAAGTGATGAGGCATTTTCAGACTTGAACCAAATATTGGAAAAACAGAAAACTTGGAGAAATAAGCTGGTAACAAATGTATAAATATATGCCCGGGTTAAGTGTTACGTAATTTGTTTGAATTTATTGTTATTCTATTGACAATGTCAAATTATTTTTTTTCCGTTTGACATGGAATTTAGTTGGTTGCCCCTATCCTGCACTTTTTTCTGCAAGCAATTAAACGCATCATTTATAAAAGTGCGTTCTACTATGCAATAGTGCAATGATAAAACTATAGATTACTCTTACAATTATTGATAAAAGAGAAACTTGTTACATATCCATAAACTAAACTTATTTAACATATTTTATAATTTGTATCTAATCTAAAACCCTTCCATTTTCATACCTCGTCCTCTACCTAATTTGATATAAATTATATCTTACAAACTAAACTAAATGGTCGACCGATTTGAATCTTTGTACAGCTACCTATTTACTCATAAACTTGATGTTCTGTAAGTTTTAGATAAATTACATGGATTTTGCTTTATGGGTAACATCTTTCATTTTAGATTTCATTTTAAAAAATCTATTTTTTTATTCGATCACTACGAATATTTTGGGAGAAAATGAAACAGACAATTATTTTTGAAACAATGATTTAATATATTAATATTGCTATAACGTAATAATTAAATATTAAAATTACATTTTCTTAATCGCGCTCAACAGTGACATCGTTATCTAGCAGTAAACGCTGCGAAACAATCCTTAGTTCGAGTGACAAATTGAAATATCGAACTTACTATCATGTATTTTCTTTTATATTTTTAGCGTGTCGACTGACTACACTCAACATTTGAAAATGCTTCTTCAAATCACAATATATCTACAGAAAATATTTATCCTAAAAATTGGTCTTTTTTTATTCTTTTTTAAAGTATGTTTCATCATTACTTTTTTCAGAGGGTTTGTTAGAGTAAATTTTTTGAAAAATTAACTATACTTGCTTTTTTGAAATATTATCTTGCTAAATTGATTTTTTCATTAGAATAGCTCTATTAGGATAGCTCTATTAGAATATTTTCATTCATATGAGCAACTTACAAGAATACATAACTCACATATACAACAGGCCCTTTGTCATACCATTCAATTTTATCAACGCGTGACGTACACAGAAAATTATAATATTGCACACAAATGCGAATTTCTTTTTTTCACTAGAACCAATATAATTTTTAAATTTGTCAACAAACCGACTTAAAAATATAAGAAAATTTGTAAGTCCAGACTATTGAACCTTTTCTATAAACGCCGAATCATACATTATGTGTTACGCTCACAAACCATCATTCATAACATTCCATTAGTTTTATCAACAAAAGTATAGCTTTCTGTTCAATTACAATTTGCGGTACATATTTACAAATGTTATTAGTACTTAAATAAATCGCGAATTTGATATATAACTCTTCTATAGAAATGCAACAAAATTAATGTATTTCAATTTTTTTAATAAAGAAAGCATCGAATGGAATATTCGTTCTAGTATAAAGAAATTGTGCTGTTCATTTTATACGCTTGCTTTATGATGAGCTGCGCATGAATCACAAAATAGTAACATTAATGCTTAAAGTACAAATCAAACGCTCTTTTCGCTCTTTTCACTTCTATACACAGTGTCATTACTAGTAGTTATAATTATAGTAACGTGTGTTATTAATTTCATACGATTTTTACATAAAACTAGCTTCTATTGGATATGTTTTATTCTTTCAATTTTACAAAACACAAAGTGTCCTGTATTTAACTTAATTCTACTTAAGTATAGTAGTATAGTACATTAATATAAGTATTCGATTACATATTACTCGATATATATTTCTCGATTTCTGGAAATATGTATAACTAATTCATTAACGACTATCGAGCATATTCTGATCATGAGTTTTAATTATGATTTTACTTTGATTTTGCGCTTTTTGTGCAAAATATTTTAGGTAATTATTTTCTCATTTGTAAGCACGAAAGTTAATAATGCTATCTATATAACTAGTTGTATTAAATAACTTTATAGTAATATTATATTTATAGCTTGTAAACTTTTATCTCGTGAATATTTTGTAGGAGTTTATTTGTAACTTATTGGATTCTATATTTCTTAATTTCATAGAAATATTTGAAGGCATAAATTAAATTCGTAATTTTAAATGATTTTATACATTAATTTTAACTGCGATTAAACGTGAACTGTTTCTGTTAAAGTTTAAAAAAATGTTGTACTAATATGCGTACAGACTATTTATTAGAATTACACAATACAGTGATGTGATAACAAATAATTCATGATTTCAAAATATTCACGAGCAAGTACTATAAAAATTTGGCAAGTAACGACTACGTGTGTGTATCTACAAAAAATACCTTTCCAAATATTCGGTATAGAAATGACAACATAATAAAAAAAAAAAAAAGAAAAATTTCTTCGAAAGGTACTTTTGGTCGTAAAAAACATATATTTCGTCTTGGCTAAGCTTGCATATGCTTTGCACTTATTTATTGCACGTTACGTTCGACCTTTAAAAAGAGAGACGTATTTGTTTATTGTTATTGCACCTGCGTCAGGTTTTCCTACGAGAATTATGTTAGAATATAAATCTCGTCAAAATTGCACTATAATAATATAAATTTAACAAGATAAAAGAAATGGCAATTTTGTTTTTAAGATATATAATAAAAAAATTCAACTTACAACAATGATCTAAATACTAAAAGAGGAAAACAACTAAATTATACTTATTCTAGGCAAATTCTTTTGCAAATGAAATTGAAATGTTCATACGCGAGCGGACAATTACATGGAAGACACTTGTGATATTTGCTATTTTCATATTCGGCTATGTTTACAAAAATTTTAGCGCCATAATTTTTCGATAAATTATAACATTAGTGTTTCATTTTCTGCTTTTGTCGCATATAAGATATTGCACATTGGATATAAATGTTATGAATGAAAATTTAGCTTTCATGTGATCATTTGCAAATTTACCCATGCAACGCAAATACGGATAATATTCATAACGTTATTTATACGTTTCAAACCTTATCTTTGTACGTAATAGTGAAATAAAAATAGAAATTCGATGTAAAACGAGAGGATAGAAATAGATTTTTTTATATTTTTTATATACTTGATCTACTGTATCGTTGCGACATTACACTATTGATAAAATGACAGTAACATAATGCAAGGTACTCATCATATATAGTGAAAAGTACTTTGGCCTTGTAAAAATCGTAAAAACCTTAAGTATTTTTATCAACTAATTTGTGTAAAGAAATTTTCTTTATGAATCAAATTTAACAATAATCTAAAATATATTAAACTCATTCAATCGTATTATTTCAAATAAAATTTCGAGCAAATATCATGGTATACATTTAAACTGTATAAATGACATATAATTTATCTGTCAGATAACAACAATAAAAAATTTACGTATACAACATGCGCTGACGTATATAATATTCTTTACGTTTAATATAACTCTTTTCATTAATCACGTAAAAGACAACGCGATCTTTGAACCTTTGAAAACTAACAATCGCAGGTATTTAGTCTCCTAAAAAGAAAGAGAGGGAGAGAGAGAGAGAGAGATGGAACTAAGAGGAGAATAGACGATATTGGCGTTCGTTGTCACATTTGTTAGCACTCAGCCGCTACTCTTCGAAACTTTTTTTTTCAAAGGAGAATATAAGCTATGCGCTCATTCATCTCTAGACTAGAAAGATCATGCACCCAGCAAAATTAGATGTGGGGGCTAGATACAAAAAAAACAGACTAACGGTCGTTCCTTTGATAAAACACAAGGACTGCTCAATCATCTCATTGTCATCAGTATCATACGACGCATACGTACTAAGTACGTATATAATGACGTATCATTACGGAGGTTCTTTGAGTTTTTCTCGCTTGTTTCGCACAAGCTTAAAATATCCGCACAGTTGTTTCCTAACTACTTAAAGTTTAAAAAAATCATGAAAAAAGAAAAGCGCGAGCTCGAGAGCGAAAAGGAGGACTCAAACGATAAAGAGATCGACGTATTGTCTGCAAGCACTATGAATATTTTGAATAGCTTGGATACGTTTGTCCACGTCTGGATGCGGAATCAACGCGTCCACGCAAGGTTCTGACGAGACAAGCTGCAAACATTCTGGCGGGGTTAGCTGCAAGGAACAAACAATATCGTTGATATGACATTCCACCACAAAACTAAATTTAAACATGAGAAGACTATTACGAGGGCAGCCTGCTGAGGTATAGGTGCAATAGCAGGCACGTTCGCCGTATTGTAATAACCAGTTGGACTAACAGGAGGCGATGGATAAGGCCAGTAGTAGATACGAGGATAACCTGGAGCAAATGCTGGTCCACCGGATATCATTGCCGCGGGTGGATGTGGGAAGATGGCGCCTGCCGGCAGTGGTGGTGGCAACATTGTACTTCCTGTCGACATAAAAATTCACGATATAAACTCTGCAGTTACGTCCTCAATATGACGGCTATAAGCGACAACGCGACAAAATCGGTCGTTTTAGGAACACATTGTTATTTTTCAATTTTCACCGATAAACGTTAATTATCGTAGCTCGTGACTTGTGGCTCAACCGATTGTGAATTAATTTGCACACACGAGACACCAAATAGAAAGATCCGGCAAATGATAAACCAATTAAACCGTTTAACCCAAATGAAATTTATATACTATACACATTAAAGAAAGTAAGTCATACGTAAAGCTTGTTCTACTCGTTCTCTTTTGCGTAAGATTTTCAATAAAATATGAGGCTGTTATGAAAAAAAAAACATAATAAATGAAAGAAAATAAGCGCGGTAGGTGATACACACTTGTTTCCCGCTACGAGACAGTTTTATTTTTTCTATTTTTTTTGGCGTATCTCGCGTACGACTACGTGAAGGTCAACGTTAAATAATGGACAAAGAAAGAGTCGCATGCAAGTTACGCCAAAAACCAGCTTAAGAATAATGATTGATTTGGCCTACCTGGAAGCACAGAAGTTAGTATTGCACGTAGAAGTCCCGCTACCAAAAATTTGACACTGCACCATCGTATAACGTATAATATACCTTTTATGTTTTTGTACCGTATACCACCTTTGAGCGAGAATCGTTTCCCCCCTTCCTAAATAAATAAATAAAAATAAAAGATTCTTTCTCTTTCTCGCTTGCCTTTTATTCCATTCGCCAAATCACCAAATGTAAACGAATATATAAGCACACGCTCTCTCTCCCAATCGTTCATTTTCATCTCTCTCCATGGACGTAAAATTTGTTTAAAAAACATTGAAAATTCTGGAGAGAAATGAATCATACAACGTTACTCTCTACTACGCACGGAGAAGCATTATACATTTCCTAGGATGATTATGTAAGTGTGTATCTAATTCCCATTCGGAAGAATTGGTTTATGAGATAATGAAATATGAAAGTGTAATAAATCAACTAATAAACGAAAAAAAAAGTGTAATTCAAGACAAAAAGTGAACTCCAAAGATGTATTACAATGATAATAGAGATAAAAATGTGTGGATACCTTCGCCCTTGCCAAATAAATAGTTTTCACCAGTAATACAAAATGCGTAGCCGCGCTTCTCCGCGCCTTTATAACACCATTACATCACTCCGAAGCATACTTTCCAATGTTATGCATTATGTATGTGTTTCTTGCCCAAGAAGAGATTTTTCCCGTTATCGTACTTGATGCTTTTTTATCTTCAATTTGAAGTTTTCCAGCGATGCTATACATAAATCATTTCGACAAAAAAACGTATGACTCGTGGCATAGTGAGCTTGCACAGCTGTAGTTTTCTATAATGTCGTACAGTGTTGTTTTTCAACAAAAGCCATACGATTTTTTGTCTATTAATAAATTTTACAGTTATTTATTTTATTATAACATGTAGCACTTGGACTTAAGCTGGCATCTTTGGTAATGTTATGGTCAAAGAATAAGTAGTCATTTGACAGACACGAGCGCAAGCGTTGAAAAAATCTGATTATTTTCTGTACAGTGTATTCCGGTCACCACCATTGTGTACTTGCAAGATTATTGTAATCCTTCGAACGGTATCCATTGACAGAATAAAGCAAATTTGATAAACTACGAGTTTGAAGCCTGTTTGAAAGAGCAGATATATAGATTACGTCATTGACAAAACAATTGGTGATGATAAATAGAAGTAGAGGCATTGATGAATGTGAAGTGAAAACAGAAGTATGTAGTGTTTGTAGTATAACCCAACTAAACATTATAATAAAGACAGAGACAAGTCGAGTTATGACACTTTTAAAAAATTCTCAATTGATGTGAAAATACCAAAGATACCTGCGTACCCAGTGAAGTAATGTTTAAGAGATTCAAATGCGAAGTTGATGATCAGACTGAACAAGATCAATCACCTCGATTTTGAACTAGAAAGGAACGATGACCGTACTTTTCTCAGAATTTCATGATTAATCGGTGATATTCGTTATCCCATTATTTGAAGGTACTTTCTAATTGTCAGGTTCACGATGACAACGTAAGAATGATTCATTCATCATTTTCATGCATTCAGATTGAAAATTTGTAAATAAAAATTATTCTAAAATTCATGCATAAAATTCCCAACATATAATTAATCTTTCAAATAGAAGTCGCTAGAGTCAAGCATTTATGACAAATGAAGTATGAGTTTAAGCACCATCTAGAAAATCGGGCATTACTCTATCTGTAGCATTGACTCTATTAAGACTTCCATAATATAACCCAACTATTTAGCAAAGCTTGTCGAATAAAATTCTGCAAATAAACGTCTTGTCGCATTTTTTATACCATCATTACCTCAATCAACGTTAAAAATTGATTGCTGGAGAGTTAAACAAAAAAAAAAAAACAATTGCTAAGACTTATGATTAAAAGCAGAATTTCAATTCAACAAAGTTATAATAAATGAAGAAAATCTAGAACAAAAATAAACCAAAAAAAGTACGACCACCGTGCAAGGATAAAGGAATATATAAGAGATCACCAAACCCGCTAAGCGCAAAAGTCAATATCCACGAGACACGAGTACATTTATTAAACATGATTATTAATTATAAACTTCGATATACAATAGAGTATACATTAGATAAACTTGTGCTATAAGTTTTCAACTTAGATATGTTCATGATCATGTTGTTTTCACTCTCACCGTGTGCTTACAAAGGAATAGGCTATTATATCCAAAGAAAAAAAAATTAAATTTACGAAGAAACTCACAAATTTCATTCTTGTTAGATAAAAGACAACGTAGGAATTATGCCATATCGCATGTCATAACGCTTTGTAAACATTTCAAATTCACCCGACCACAGAGTGCTGGTTTTATTTCGTTTTATTTGAAATGCATATCAACGTGGTTAGCTTTCGCGAGAATAGCAAAGGCAGAAGCTTGTGTGTGAAATTCAATATGTGACAGGATCGTGATTCGTACAACCCAATTATTGTCGATTAAATATTTGGAATAAATTTCGATATCTTTTGCTATTTCGACATGAGAAAAAAATAATAGATAGAAATAATTTTTAGGTGATCAGTGTACAATGCATTTCTCACAGATGATTTTCTTCGAAGCACTTTGAAAATAAAAGAATAAACAAAAAGAATAATAGATGTCTAAGAAAAAAATTGTATAAGCATTGTAGGCTGACCACCTACATCGCGAGACACCGCCGTATGTTAGCCACCAAATCACCAGACAACACATCTAGCACAATATATACTAACATCTGGAATGGAAAGTTAGTACACGTATAAGAATATTTAAAGACTCGGATGAAAAGTCTCTGCACAAGACACTGCCGCGCGGACTCGGCGAAAGCCAACAACACTACTTTCATGTAGCAATTTTGTTTGACGTATATCTTTCAATCGATACGTCTCTTAAACAAAATTGTTACAGAGCAAAAACACACGTACACCCAAAACCACTGATTTTGTCTCTTAGCGAAAAAGAGAAAGGGAATTATTGCTACAGCTCTATGACAAAATCATTGACCGTGGTGCATCACCAATTAAAAAAAAATTCTATAACACGATTTAGCATTTCAATAACAATATTGTTACCACCTCTACTGATCAGATAGAATATTATAACGTCTTTGAAAAAGGAAGCTTAATTAATCAAAATTATGTACAATTCGCAAATCACTTGATTTCGACGTTTTATGTAACGCATTTATTAAAGTATTAATTTCATTGACAAAATTAGAAGCAAATAAGTGAGTTAATTAGAAATTGCCACATTATAGACCGAACAATTACATGCTGGTCGATTATTCTTTTGCGATTTTTCATGTCGGCTCTTCTGCGCACATCGATGTTGAACGAACTATTTCAGATTATTTCGTTTCTAACATCGAGCGATTATCGGAAGCGTCTCATGTAGAGTATTGGTACAAGGCTGAAACTCACTATTATTAAACAAATATTTTTATTCAAAATGTTCAATGAATTTTGTTTATATTGAATCTCAACCTCAATACATTTCATGATAGATCTTTTATTTTGTTAGGCAAAAGAATGAAATTCTTACATATATTTGTGTCATCATAGAGTTCGGCAGCATATAATTATTAGATTAAAGTTTCGTTATTTTGCCTAACATATGTCATGAATAATTACACTTGATGCATATTATTTTAAGATTACGATCAACTAAATAATGTGCATGATCAATAAACGCGGTTTTTCAACTTTACGTTCAAAGTTAAGCCAACGATCGGTGTTGGTTTTAAAAGATGTTATCGCAGCGATGGAATTTTTTAAAATATATATGCCTCCACATCCCAGCCCATGCAATCTATTTCATTTCATACAGAAGTAACGATGCCACTCGAATAGACCAATTTTCAAATATTACTGTCAAACAACAGTTACATATTGGTATTTAAGTACTTTCAAAAGACAATTAGTGTGTTTTAAGTACATCGTCACTTCGCACATAATGTATGCAGTTATCATGATGTTTGGATGTTGGTAAACACAAGGAAAGTGATTGTGATATAATATAGGTTCCACAATGTAAATATGTTGGGAAAATTGGTTTTTACATAATTGAAGTTTTAGAAAAAATTTTTTGTTGGCAAGTTTAGATGGTACGTGAGGTCAGACAAAAAGAATAACTTTCTATGAATATAAATATGTAAACTATTTAAATAAATAGAGTAAGGAATGTTTTACGTAATTATTGCTGCTAGTATATACGTGAACGTATGTACAATGCAGTCCTTACAAGTGAACACAACTTATGATCTATCAGTGTATACAAAAGTTTAAAAGAATAATATTAAGTATGTCTTTTTGTCTTTGTACTTTAGGTTTATCTAGTTATATTATATAGTTTATTGTAGCCATTACAAAAAAAAATTTGTAACGGTAGTTTGGAATTGGAGATGTCAAGAATATGAAGGAATGAACGAAGCACCTCGAGATTTCTCTCATTTATAATGTTAACAATAGGCTGGCCCAAAGCCCAGTTTCAGGATATGCTCTATAACGTATGGAAGAATTAGCCCTTTCTAGTTTACAGGCTTAAATTAAATTACGGAGATTAAATTATCTTTATATTTATAAAGATGCAAAATTTATAATATATTTACATTTCATTATCGCGAAGAAATGCTATTATTCCAACGAATTTGTAGTAACAAATGTTAGAAACAGATTTCATATCTCAAGACAAAAATGACTAAATTAGAATAAATGTTTTTTCTTCTTATATCTATTGTATTATTATATAATTATAATAATTCTATCTATTCTGAGCAAGTAAAACAACCGAAATGAAAATTGTCTCATTTTTCATTTTTTCATCATTAAGTGTTTGATTTTCTAAGTACTTTTATCACTTCATTGAAAATATCAACATTTACAGGCACTTAATCGGCAGGGTTGGATGGCAAAAGCCCATTAATAGAATAAGAAAATGACGTTACTTGATATTTCTTAGGTATCATATAAAAACACTTTTTATAATTTATCTCTGAACATCAAGTTATTGAACAATCCTAAGCGATAGGACATATCAAAACTAGAATATAAGTAGTTATAAAATCTTTCATCGCGCCTTCAAATTCACATTCAAATTTTTAAATATCTATGTTATTTAAAAAATTGAAGCAAAATTGTGCAATAAATTCTTATCATCAAAATAGATTATTCAAAAATGGATGACTACAAACTACAGCTATCATGACGTTGCCTTATATTATCGTATATCCGTGCGAATTGAAAAAAAATATTTTTAAATTGTAAAATATAGTACTCGAGCTCTTCTGTATTATATGATAAAGGCTAACTCATTTGCAAAACCATTGTTGATTAAAGATTCGTTACGAAGGTATCAATGTCTCTGACAACTGAATCTTGTAGTTAAAAAATTACATATCAGTACTACCTTATTTAAATAGATTGAACTAGCCATAAGTTGTTCAATCCCGTGCTCTATAATAATCTACAATATAATATTGGTAGTCATGCGTCACTCGATCCTTGTATCGCTATAACTCTACAACCTGCAACTTGTCACGAACGTCGTATACTCAAAGTTTACGTAGAGAAAAACTATCTATAATCGCTCTCATCATCTCTGATTGATAGTTTTCCAAGCTCACAAAAAAGAAAAAGTACAAAACAACTGTTGGGTTACGCTGCTGATGATGAGTCAGCAAGCAGCCACGATTTCTCTCTAAATCTGTGGAAAGAACTGGGCTGGATACGCGAGACCTGGGGCAGCGGTTTGCGCGGTCGCGTGAAAGGCAGCCGCAGGTGTCTGCCATGCAGCACGCTTAGGGGCAGCGGCCGCGGTTTCCGCGGGGAAGGCCGACTCCCACGTGCGTTTGAGGCCGAGCAAAGCAGCGGGATTGATCGGCGCGCCGGGAATGAGACCCGAAGCCAAGAACTCGGGCGGCGCATGCGGCCTCAGAATTGGAATTCTGTGCGCGGCCGCCGCAGCCGCCGCAGCTGGCATATTGAAGAAAAAGAAGGGAGCGGCCTGTTGGGCCGCGACCGCCTGTGCGTGAAGAGCCTGCTGCTCGTGACCGTAAGCCAAGCTCTGAGGATGAGCCTGAGTGACGGGTTGCAGCGGTATGCTCGATGGCAGCGCAAGAGCCTTGTTATTGTGATCAGGCGAGGTCGGCGGGTGATTACTGACAGAGTTCTTCGAGGCCAGAGCCATGAGATGCTTATAAGTGCGATCGCGCATGGCTATAGCCTCGGCTCGCGCCTGGGCGAGGCCGAGCTGCACTTGGGTGACCTGGTTTTGGGCTGCTTGAGCCTGCACCTGGGCCTGCGCCTGTGCCTGAACCTGAGCTTGGGCTTGGACCTGAGCCTGCATGAGGGCGTGGAGATCCCAGAGGGGGGCAGCGCCCGGCGGGGCAGCGGCCACGGGCAGGGAGTTGGGTTGCAGCTGGGCCGGGATGGGAGGGCCGGGATTCGGCGCCGCGGCGACTGGCGAGAGCAGAGCCTTACCCGCTAGAGGTGCGCCCGTGAGCACCAGGTTCATGTCTTCGCCGCTGCACTGGAATACCTCGATGTAGCGCTGCTTCTTGCCGAAGATCATGTAGCGATGGTGACGTTGCGTCGCGCACGCGTAAGCCGCAGCCTCGCTATTCATCTGAATGAATGCCTCGCCAGATGGTTGGCCCTGCAAGCATTTTAATTTCTTAGTACTCGTGTCACGTCTTAGATTTGGCAAGTAAGGATATCGTTTACCTGAGCATTATACACCATATGAACGCCTTGGTACTCAATGTTTTTCGAGTGTTCGCCCAAGAACTCAAGGATGTGCTCCACAAGAGCCTCGTACGGAAGACCGCGGAGACGCACGCAATCTTTGCGAGTGCCAGAAGTGATGAAGTGTTGTGGAAGAATTGCGGGTAGCGGTTGCAGTACTGACCTCTCAAATGGCTTCACATCGCTCACGCGATTCAGTACCTATCAAAAGGAAGACACTGGGGTTAAGAGAAAGCATCTTTGTGCACACACAGATGACGGAGATAAGTACCTGCTGTACTTCGGCCGTCGTACTTCGGAAGAGTTCGATATATCTACTGCCGATACAATCCCTGTGTTTACTGAGAGCTTTCGCTGCATCGTCTTCCTTAGCAAATAATACAAATGCGTCGCCCGTGGCGCGACCGTCCGCTTTTTTTACGAACAAGACGCCTTCTTCACCATCCAACACTTGGCAAGGCTTTTGACCAGATACAAAGAATTCCAACTGCAGCAAGATCGTCGAACGTTAGCTGGGCGTTCGACAGCATTCGCAAATAAATGTTTCATACTCACAACTTGTTTGGCAGTGCAGTCGTAAGGTAATCCACGCATCCTAACGATCACCTGGGCGCCGCGCGACAGAAAGACATGAGCTTCGCCATTGGTGCCACCAGCCACCGAGACGAAATCGTCACCCGAAGCTTTGTAAACCTCAATGTAACGAGCGCCAATGTGATGCTTGTGCCTCTTCAGCGCCATGTCTCTGTGTTCCTTGTTCACGAAACGCACTAGAGCTTCACCGTTGCGTCTGCCTTGCGCACTCAAGCACAGAGCCACGCCGCCCCTGCAGTCGATAAACAATTCGTTGGTTATTTCTTTCTTCGTTCAACAATATTACGATGTCGAAATACATATGCAAAACAATTTTACGCGATAAGCGGCTTATATCTCGTATGAAAGAACTGCGAGGGCAGGTCACAAACAACGTACACGCAGTGTTAAATGAAACTTAACTAATTGAAACATGTAACGACGATCAATTATTTAGGATTTTGAACTTGAGGATTTCATTAACAACGCTCATGCGAATTAGTAGAGTTCGTACCATAGATTCATTATTTAATGTTATTTCCAAACTCGTTTTTAATAAAACATAAAACGACTCAAGCATCTAAGACAGCGACGCAGCTAAAATAAACAAGCTTCACGGCCGGCGTAAGCAAACTGACCGAGGAATAGCGCATCGCGTTGCATATACCCGAGCTGCAATCTTCATTATTATTTTTATTATTCTTTTTTCTTTTTTTGTCGCATATCAACCAACCATTGACGCAAGTGCTTATTGTACATTTCCAATAGGCTATTCATACAACTCGCATTTGCGTTCAATGAAAATTACACTACCATAGCGACGACTAAGAGAAGAAAAAGTTCAAGAAGTACAAGCTTTTTTTCGCACATATGATTCCACGTATGACATGCATAGAAGAACAAGACAAAAAAACGTAACCCGATAAGTCAAGGTAACTGCTAATATTACTCTTTGTTTGGAAATCACCAATTACTTATACGAATACATTTGGCGTACGAGCGGCCAAGATAAAAAATACAATTATCTCGCGTTGAACAATATACGATTGTTGTCGAAAAGTATCGTTGTAGCATCGAGCGAAGCTTAAGCGAAGTTCGCCAAGTCAACCCGAAAGAAAAAGCGCATCAGCCTCGAACCGAATAAACGCGAGTTGAAACTACATAAACTCCTAGTGATCCGTGACCCTAGATAAGGCGCTTATCGCGCTCAAGTTGAAGAATGCGAATCCTAGAGCGCGCTCGACTTGAAAGAATCGCGAGCGAAAACTGCAAAGAAAACCTCGTCAGCACGCGCACTCGCCTCGGAATTCGAGTTCGTTGCCACGAGCTTATTTTGAAATTAGCTTGCAATATTTTGCTAGACTCTATTGAAGAGTGTTTCTTTGCAGTTTTCGGTCGATTAAAATAAGCCGTGAAAGGAAAAATGGGTGAAAACGTGTATTACAACACTCAAGTGTTTAATAAAAAAAACGTTCTAGTCATATTATAAACACAGAAAGTAACGCTTACATGATAACCCATTACCTGGAATAGAACTCATCCGAGTGCTAGCTAAATACATATACCATTAATAGATGTATTAAATGTAAATTGTGTTTTTTATCGTTGAAAAATACGTATTAACTACATTTTTAATGGATAAAATTGTTTAATTTCAAGATTAACCGTCAACTTTTTATAAGAAATTTAATTAAAACAACTTACTTAGCAACATTCAGTCCTCTGAAGAATTTCGCTACGTCCTGGTCGGATGATTGCCAGGGCAATCCTCGAGCTCGCACCACGCAATTATTGTCTACCTTCTCATCCTTTGAGCTGCAATTTTCAATTATAAGTTTTTCATTAAAGTTGATGAAATAGACTCACCGCATTCTTATCGGACGTCTTATTCACCGTTTCATCGAAATCAAATGAGCTTACATCAATTAATCAATTTAATTTATTTCGTGAGGTAAATCTCACGACGATAACGGCATTTTTTTGTATCGTGCAAAATAAATTAAATTGTAATGCAACGTATAACGAAGTTGCGTAAAGCTAATTTTCAAAGAATGCCGATTTGATGAAAGATTGAGAAACTCACCATATGCCAGGTTCCAATACAAGGTTAACGACTTCCGGATTTTGGAATACGTGTCCTGCAATGCATATTGAAATTATTAACAGTCAGCGTGACGTACCCAGAAAGTTTTGTATCTTTACTGGAAAGGCGCTGAAATACAATACCTTCCTCCATAATTACACTGTAGATAATTAAATACTGTAGATATTAAATAAACGTTATCAACCAATTTAACTTTTAGTTATTTTATGAATTAAATAAGACCAATTGAAAAATATAATTGTCTTTCCTCATAATAACTGCATATTACAATAATGTTTTTGAAACGTTGTCCACCCTCTTGAAATATAACAGCGCCAAGTTGTGTTGTAACATTTCACAAACATTGTTGAAATATTAACAGTTAGAATTGAGATGCGGTTATTTACCCTATAAGTTATTCTAGAGTAAATCTCACAATGTCAGTGAGAACAGCAAGTAAAATCTTAATCACGAGTTTCACTGACAATTTGACGATAAATCTTATGATGAATATTAATATCATGCCGATTATTTACATTGGAAAGAATCCCGTAACTTTTTCTTTGAAAACTGAAAAAACTACACTGTTAAAAAAAGAACTTGGCGAACTGTTAAGCAGCGGAGTCGACTGTACAGCATTGAGCATCGAAAGACGAATGAGTTATTGACGGAATGTCAGGTCGAGTCCCGGTAATTCAACACCGTCGTCCTGTCTTGCGTTATACTTCTGGTAAAAAAAATGCCCCCTCCTGCCGTAGTATACATTGTGCCGAACTGTATACTATCGAATGTGCAGAGAGGTGACTGCAACGCGAGCAGTTCAATTTGCCGACGTAGCGCGCGAATTCTTTCGGGCGCTTTGGTTTTTTCTTCATTTCTAGCATCCTTTTTCACAATGCTTTACAAGCAATCTCGAGCTGAGATCCGTTTCGCGTTTTTGCTGTGTCTACAGCTAGTGAAAATTGTACATTTTGGATACTCAGGACTATTCCATTCAAACTGTCGCCGTACATTTTCATTTAAGAAAAATCCATTCGAAAAATCATGTTGATCCCGTTTGCGAAATTTATTCCACAATTTACACTAATCATTATTGTTAACTCGAGAACTGCTCCACTTTGCAAGATGACAAGCGCAAGCGCTGTTTCAATAACAAAGATGAGTCTTCCACGCACGTGTTGAGCTTTGTACTCATCAAAATAATATACCGACAAGCGTTCGCGTGACTAATCGCGCTACCAAAATGAGAACCAACGGTTTGATAAGAATTACAATGTGAATGAATAATACGTAATTTAATACGTGTTTAAATCTTTAAGCTACGTAACTACAAACATTCAGTTAGGCAAATTCAAATTTCCAAAGTTTAGAAAATGTATAATTTTTTATTTATTATTAAAACGATCGTAATTCGAAAATATTCTTTCTTGCCACATTTATTGTAGCAAAATCAACAAGTCCCAAGTTTTCTTCGCCATTCCGAAGTATTTTAATGAATGATATTAATTGTAATCCAGAAATAAACTGAAGCAGGTTCAATGATCGAGTAAGACAAATATTTTTTGCTGCCGTAGAAAAAAAATGTATAATGAAAAATATTATATTTTAATATATGAGCAAATCCCCAACACTTTTAAAGTTACTCTTATAATAATCGTGCTATAATAAGGGCAAATCAAAATTTGAAAACGTTTTTGTTTTTCGGGAAAAATGATGACCAATCACTTGCACTAATTCATTTTCGAACATTGATTATAGTTATGAAGCTATAAATTGAAAATGTACGTTTTTTTTCAAGAATTCAAGTTGTAACTCGCTATAAAAATTATTTCCTTAGCATTGTAAAAAAGTCTTGGAAAAATTATTTCAAAACTTTTTTATAGACCTTTTAACACGTGTTATTGAAATAAATGAGTTTTAAGAATGTGCTTCTATCACGCATAACATAAAAAATACAAATAGAAGTGTTACTCACTTTGTAATATATCGAAAACTCTATAAATTTTATTTTTTTACAACAATAATTTTTCTGTAACTTATACATAAATAAATAGAATGTATTCTACTCCAAAATATCAATCTAACACAATTCTTTGTTTATTTCTGTGCCTTGTCTGAGTTATAGATTTTTCGACACTCCGTGCGGAAAGTTCGTTTTTCCCGCACGCTCGGCAAAAACGTGCGTTAAAAATCGTATTTTCCACACGTCGTATCAAAAAGTACGGTACGGCACATGTTCGGGAAAGAGTTTCTTGTCTCGTGTGGCGTTTACGCTCTCATCTTATTTTCCCGCACTTGTATCGTAATGTACTATTCCTAGTCAGCGTAGTCAGCGAGCCCCTTATGTTAAAAAGGTGCGTTTTTTATTTTATTTAGGCGCAATAAAACGAACTTTCCGATTGATATATAACCCAAAGCCAATTGATATTTATTATACCCTGCTTAAGTTGCATATTAATGACGTCGACTGGTTGATCGCAATGAGAAAAATTATAATAATCTAATATCAATATAATATAACGAATAAATTTCTGTGTGTTCGCACTGATGCTCATACCTCTTATTTCTCTTTCAAACCAGATAGAGTAAATTGTGCGTGTACTAAAATATATAAATCAACATCAAAAATGTTGCGCGGGAAATTCAGTGTCGTGGAAATTTTATTTTTCACACTTTAACTTTGTAATGGAGAACATAAGTGAAGAAGAGAATAAGAAAATATTCACAAAACTTTCATGTAATCATTTTTCACTTGAACCAACTAAATGGAACCTAGTTTATGCAAAATTGAATAAGGTAACAAAACCAAAGAATAAAACTACCAAAAAAAGTACTTATTTGAAAATATTCACAGTTTGTATTACAATATTTGTAACTACTTTATTTTTACTAATAATTTGTTATATTATTATTTATAAAATTTGAAAAATAAATAAAGTTCAATAGCTGCGAAAAATGATTTGATACATTTTCATTTCAATATCTGACAATCTTAACCTATTGAAAATGACGTTATTTGAAGAATTTTAAGTTCAGGTTAATTATGCTGTTTCACAAGAAAAGGTTTGGAAAAAATCATGAGCTCATATTTTCTAATGTTATTCAAAGCCAACTACGAAAGAAAAAAAGATTTTCAAAGATGTGCTTTGAAGAACATTTTTTTTTAATGACAAATTTTTTAATTTTTGGAGATTTACTTATATACATGCTTAATATTTTACACTATATGTAGGAGCAGTGAACATTTTATCGACAAACTTGAATAATAAAAAAATAGTAGTTAAAATGACAGTCTAGAACGGTTTCGAATATTCTCGTTGAAGTATGTCATTAACCATGTTTAAATACATAAACTAGTTTTTAAATATTTATCATTTAATATTGCTAACATTCACGTCCGAAACGTGTTTTTTTTGTCTTGAAATGTGCCATAACTGATAATTTAGCCTTATAACCTTCAAAAAATTATCTTATTATAAATATACGCGGGGCCTTATCTTAAGACTTGTTTGATTAGAACGAGTTCTACTGACATTGAATAAATTATTACGATTGCCTATAGAGAATCATTATACGAGGGATACTTGTAACAGTAAAAAACGGCAGAATACTTTTTACGTATTAAAAACACGGTGGAAATTTTTCATCATTACTATGCCAAAAAAAAGTGCATTTAGTAAATCGCTTCAATGTTATAGTCAATAAATCATATCGGTCTTGATTCATTACCAGGATAACTAGAATAAATGCACTAAAATAGTTCTCTTCATTGATCTATTCAATCGATTAGTACAGTGTATTTTAGCACGAAGACTTGAGTTAATGACGTTGGGCGAATCAACCGAACATTATTTATCCCGAGTTATTTCTTTGATTTTTTTATCGTTTGACTGAGCTATTGACGAGCACCATAGATCAAGCTACAAATTCAACTCCATTCCATTTTAAGTATCTATGGAGAATCGTTACTTCTCAAAAGTTGGGTAATAAATGAGTTTTTTTAACTCTGCGTATGGGTCTTACCGTCTTTAATCATCCTTTGGATGACCGCGACCATGTCCTGGACCTCTTTTACGTGATAATCGTTTTCCGTGTCGGCCGGTATGTTATAGTCTGATTACACGAGTAGTCAAGGATTTTCTTCTAGTTTAGCACATTGAAAACATGTATAATCTAATGTATATATAAGAGCTTGAAGCTATGACAAATCGAACCGATGCTTTTCTCTCTTCCCATGTATACGCTTTCTCCATGGGTCTATGGTGATTTGGCACACGTTTTCATTTTAATGGATTTACGCGAGAATCCCAGCAACTTCCATGACGCTAAGTATATTTTTATTTTCGTCTTTATCTTCAACCATTTGCTTGAATGCCATTCAAGATAAAAGCCTATCTTCATTCATTTTCATAAGCGATCAAATGTATTTCTTCAAATGGCGCGCTATTTCAGAAAAACAGCTAACTTTTTCTACAGCATCGTAAAGGTCAAATGCGCCTTTCGGATTATACAAGAGTGTGGAAAAAATTGTGCATTAATAATTTAAAAAGAAAAAAAAACAGCTAAAAATTGTCATTGTTTATGCATGTCTCATTAGCATATTCATTACACAGTTGAGACTGTCTGTGTGGATCTCAATATATGACAAATGATCGTTGTTACATTGCCAAAGCCTTAAATAAGAAACGCTCGAAGCGAATCTCTGTTGCTCGTACACGAATGTCCATAAAATCTTCGTTAATTAAAAGATTGACGAGAACGACGAAGAGAACGAGGAAACTTCAACACCTCACGAATCTAAAATAACTTCATATCGCAATCAGTCACGATTCCGTTTTAGTAATTTAACTATTCTATGTCGATGCAATATTTGAACAAAATATCCAAATGTATATCATTATCGATTATGTAACGACTTCGGAGTCAAAGATAATGCAAATCAGCGCGTACTTCATTTAGCCGATCGTTAGTTCGTCAAATAATTTGGAGAAAGAATGTAGTAGATAAATTACCGATAGGAACAAAAGCTAGCGTCTAATAGGTTTCGAAGAACGGACTTTGTCGAATCGAATGAAGAATAATGACGACTCTCCACAAAGGTATTCCTATTCTACGTCCAATTTTTTCCCCACTGTCTCGATCATGCAATCCAAGAAATACACAACGTAATTTGTGTTCGCAAAGGTGTACACTGTAACGTGATTCTTTCGCGCGCTTGAAAGCAACGCCGCAAACGAGTTTCAACGAAATGCGCACTGGTCGAAAAATGTCGTCGTTTCAGTGAATTACCGAAAAAAAAGGCGGCGCGTAGTTACCGACAATTTCGAAAATTTCTCTCTCAAAAACCTAATTGTTTGCGCCCTAGGGCTCGCCGTAAATTTCTTTGCATTGGAAAAGCTGGTTAAAGCCCCAAGTATTATCGCACTTATCTCGTTAGCCTATCTGTATTCAGTCAAACTTACCGTAAAATAAAAGTAAGATCTAAAAATACGGACTGCGGAGCACTGAGACACACAGAGAAATAAGGCCGCAACGGCTTGGCGGGCAAAGAAGATAAAGATTTTCGCCGACGAAACGAACGACAAGAGAGTAATAGCTTGACTGGCCAGCTTCCAGGCGCCTTAATCGCGTGCTTCAAGCCTGACCTTTAAACTGCACCCATAACGCGCAGCGATAAGACGACCAGCGAGAGAGGAAGAGTTGTGTTGTGTTGGCCAATCGCACAATATGAAAAAAAACCCGCTGTACAGTCGCAGTCAAAGTGCGCTTGCGTTATGTGTGTGAAACATCTTCCTATTTTTGAATGTATTTCATGGGAATGCCAGCGCATTCTCAATCACGTTTTCAGACTAAAGACTTTTTTTGGCTCATATCGCTATTGATTATCATGTGCGACTTATATTTGATCTCTCTGTGCTACTAGGCTTTATGCAATTAGTAAATATCAGAATTTCGTGATTATTTTTTTGACTCAAGATTTGGAGGAAAATGTATCTCCCGATAATGCAGACAAAGAGGTTACTTGTCTAAGATCTTTTCGAAGGATGTTTCAATTTTATAAATGAAAAATTAAACGTATTTATACGTTTTTCAATTGGAAAATATCGCCAGAATGTCATTAGCTAGAGAATTCGACGGTTAACGAGAAAGAGGCAATTTCACTATGCACGTGTAAACCGATTTACAGAGCGAGAACATCGCTTTAGTCGTTAGAAAGTGAATTCACGGCTAGTGAGTATTATAAGCTTATATTTCTTGCACCCGCGAAAGTTTTCATCGTTAGTTATAAAAAGAAGTTACTGCAGCATCGACGTTTCGTTGAAATTGCATATATTCCAATGGTTACGAGTTACAACATACACTCGGAATATGCAGTAATAATTTAAACATCACCGTGAATCAGACAAGGAACAACCACAAGAATCTGAATGTCAATATAGGAAGAAGTTGGCGAAAGCAAAAGTATCGGGCATCGCGAATATGACGTGTCGATCAGCAACAGGTGGCTTTTTGTTTTCTTAATAGAATCGAACTGCACTTGCGCACTCTCTCCAACGCGCACGCGCATTCCAATCTTACAGTTGCCATATCTGAGATCGTACAATGCCGACGTCTATGTTTGACTTTTTTTTTGTAAATTTGTGATTAGATTCAATTCATTTTTATGTATAAAGTAAATCTTTGATATCGCAGGTGACATTTTTCTTTCAAGGAATCATAGTTGCGTAAATAATGGTCGGAGCGCATGTGAAATAAACATGCAACAGTGAAAAAAAAAAAAAAAAAGGAGGAAACTTCAGCCCTAACAACAATCGCCAACAGTTGTACAACGTCTAACGATCGTCAAAACAAAAGTGCATGCAAGAAAGAGAGGGAGATAGAGTGCATCACGCTTGACGAAGCAAAAAATCGCACGACTCGTGATTGCCGTAGTTATTACACGTTTGTCATTCCAAAACCACGCGATATATCTTTTGTTCCTTAAATATTCAGCCTTTGCCAAGTGTATGGCTGCAATTGCAATTTCGTTACTTTTTTTCCGTACAAATGACTTGGTTATTGGTCTACGTGATCGATAAAGTTTTATTCGAACTGAAAAATTGCGCTTACCTTTCATTTTGTCGATCGGAAGAAAAATGGCGACAACGGCAATTTACTTTTGACGAAACGACGCGTAGAGCCGTGTAATGCTAGCACTAATTGTAAGTACTCAGAGAGATTAGGACGAAAAATCCACACAGAGCAGCAGATCGAAGGAACAAGTGAAGACTTCGGTCTGATGGTGTCCGAACGCGACAACGACTGAGCGCGTCTCGGCGCGCTTTGCGTGCTTTTCGACCCCGCTTCGAGAAAGAAAACTGACTCCTCCGCGCATGTGTGCGAAGAGTGCGAGCTCGACTTGGCTCGTATTCCCTTGGGCCTCTGCCACAACGCGCACACGTGCTCGTTAGACAAGAAATCGAAACGAAAATTCACTGGAAGTTCGTGCGTCGTTAAAAAAGAACAGGAGGTTAATTCACAGGCAAACTTATGCGATTGTATGCGCGAATGCATATGCGTGCGCTTCTTTTTTACCAATAGATTTAACGAGCTGACGTGCGCCGCAACGTTGTGGACGAAGCCTTTTTTCATACGTGACGGCACGAAGGCATGTCGAGAAAGAGTGAGAAAGAGAAAGAAATAAGGAGAAGGAATCGACTCATACGCGCGCGCGCCGGCTCAAGCAGTTTACGAGCAGACGACATAATAAAACTATGCCGTTCGCGGACGCGATTTCAAGGCAATAGGGAATACATTTTTTCATCAAACAGACGATTTTTTCGTGAAATTCTGTCAGTAAAAGTGTAACAATGCATGAAAGAGTCCCGTGACGTTTGAAATTATCTGAAGCTCATTGTCGAATGCTTTGTCAATGCCAAGACAACAGCGGGAGCGTATTAGCATATTGTCTTATTATAGCCATGGGTCTCTTCACTCGCATCGATGCTATAACGCGCGCGTTTGATTTCACTACAGAGGAAATAGTCATTCGAATTTAGCCGCATGCGATCTTATCGGCGAATTGGTTGTGAAGCCAATAGACGTTATAACGGCGTCTTTCCGAGGTTTTTTTTCATAATTATACTTTTTAATCAACTGAGTTCTTTTGTTTCTTTTATCACTCAAATAAAATCTAGCTTACTTTTTCGAATGTTCGCCTTATTGGACATTTTCAATTAAGTAATCCTTGATTTATTCATTATCGACTTGTAGTAAGTCTAATAAAATACCATTTCGATTCATAAAAGAGATTCCGGTAGTAAATGTGTAAATATCAAAATATTTAAAAATATATTACAAATGTCACTTTGCGTATTAAAACAAAATATGCATTTTTGTATTACAGGATCAAATTAATTATTTCGAAACCAACATAGTTTCACTTTCAAAAAAAAGTACGAATGAAGTTAATTGTCGTCAGAACCGTCAGACGTAGGAATGCTTTTCACGCCAAAATAAAAAATTCTCCGCGCTACTTTTGAATTCACACCTGAACGGCGAACAAGCGAGCTGAAAAGCCAGCGCCGATGTGCAGAGAAAAATAGCCACGCATGCGCGCAACTTCGAAGAGACTCTCTCGAAATGTTTTTTTTTTCTTTTTTTTCCTTTTTTTTTGAGGAGCCGCGTGTAGCATGAAACAGCGCGCGCGTGTATATGTGTATGCGTGCGTGTCGGGATTTTTGCATTGGTAATTGCCTTGAGAAGCTCTCTGACCCTAAAGTCTTCGTTTTTTTTTCTTCGCCGAAGAGAGGTATGCGCATCCTTCGATACTAATGAGCATGTATGAGATTGCTTGCGCGCTAGAGCGAAATTGCTCGGCAATCATCTCGCGTGGTTATAAACATGTGCGTAAAGATGACAATAGGAAAATTGCGGGCGTTCAGATCAATGCATCGATAAGCTATTGATGCGCAGTATTGGCACTTGATTGTATAGAATCGTTGGATAAATTAGCAAGGAGGGGACGACACTCGAACACATACTGTTTCCGAAGATAGTCGCACAAGTTGGCGCATACACGCCGGAATGTGTGTTCAACAGATTGCATGTCTACAGAGCGTCATTGGATATTTAGATAAATGCCGAGCTTCGGGTACCAACTTATTATCGGATGAAATGATGTACCGGTAGAGAAAATAAAAGAAGAAACATCCATAACGTAGATGCTGAACTTGTTATATATGAGCGAAAATGATGAACGCGAAATATCGATATATAATCTTGGATAACACGTGCACTTACCAAGCTAAGTGACTGGTTATTTGTATTCTCGAACACAATAGTTCCGATCCCTAAACTAACTGATAATGAATATGTGATTTTCATTATCAACTCGTAGAATGCAAAGGATACATTGTATCATTTCTTGAATGCTGACCAACTGGAGTTCATCGTTGGTGGAGTAGCACGAGGAGAACTCTTTCCTGAGGTCATGGAAGACGGTGTAGTGAGCCGGTAACTCGACCAGCTTGTTACAGGCTTCCGGGTGAAGACATTGTCTGAGCGGCGCTTGACCGTCGACTACGAAACGTGGCGAACTGCCGGCCGCCACGCACGTCAACGACGACCACCATGCCTCGAACTGTAACACGTATTATCGGTTTTGTTAGATCGCAATCGCAAGCGAAATTAGCCGAATGACTCGCCGGCGCATAACGCTAATGTGATTTTGCCGCGCGATAATTATGTGTACGCTCCAGTTGCGAAACGCAGCACTCGCAAGAGCTGCAAAAAGGTTCGCGTCACTTGACAATTTTTCAGCGCGTTACGAAATGTTTGCAGGCGCGAGCAGCAAGAAAAACAAAAGAATTTGCGTCGACTAACGAGGGCCGAGCAATAAAGCGAACGTCAGAGCCCGAAAACAATGTGTCCCGGGCTACGGCTAGAGGAAGAAAAAAATTAGAATTTCATTGGGTTGCAGATAGAAGATAGCTAAAGCAACAAGGATAACACCCCTATTGCGGAACGCGTACTCTGCTTTTTGACAATCGACCGAGCGAGAGAGTCAGTGCGCGCAGCTCGCGTCGCCCGCATCGCCGCCGCTGGCTATGCCGCTGCTGATAAATCGAGGCAACAGGTCGCCGGCATTTCTGCGCTTTCGTTCTCCTACCTTCGCGATTACAATCTGCGCGCGCGCGCTGGTTACTACTCGGCATGACTTTAATTGTTTTGGCCTTTTGTGCCTGTGTGCCTTTGCACAGGACTTGCTCCAGTGACGGGGACGTTGACGACGAGCTGATCAGGAGGAAAGTTCGAGTGGTCGGCGACGAAAGCGTACACGCTGTGGACCGCGGATAACGAATGCGTTTCTTCATCGGTACCGGCAAACGTGTATGTACGAGCGATGATAAACCGCATTTTTCATATACCACCAGAACTAATTATGGTAATTTATCGTTCGGCTACTTTTATCTTTTAATCGTTTACATCGCTTTCGCATCGCCTCGTACGTCCTGCCCGATATTACGCAATCTCTCTAATTAAAATTTCGGTCTTACACTAGTCCCCATAGAAATTAACGGATAATTAGCTTGTTTTTTCCTACAATAATGAATAAAATCACGAATGCGCGTATCCTTGCGAAACCAATATGTTCTTTTCTTACCTATCGGCAATCAATTATAAAGCCTCGATGACTAGGGCCCGATTTCACGTGCGCTCGCGCGATGTCGGCCGTCGACTTTTCTTGCACGGTAGTTATCGAAAACTCTGTACCGCAAGGTTGCGGGACAACGCGACTTCCGTCGCGACGAATTCCCCCGAGAGAGAAACATCCTTTCGCGAAGCTTGCGCAACTATCTGCATCACATAACCCGAGTGCGAGTGTCATTAGTCTGTATATACACTTATCGTGACGTTTTTTCGTCCGCGAGGCGTATGAAATTATGTACCGCGGCGATCTGTCCGTTCGCGTAAGAGATTAAATTGGCGCAGCTGAATATTTTCGTGTCGGATGTACGTTCGCCTTAGATTCGCTTCGGAAAGCTCGGTTACGCGTGCGCTCCCTTTTTTGCCGCTACCTCGGTTTCCATTACTCGCGCGTCGTATAGCTGGCAAAACGAGATGGACATCGTTTGCCGATTGAAAGTCAAACGGCGAAAATTACGCGTGGATCTCGGGCTTATCGAGTCAAGCACATCCGTGAAGTGAAAAGACAAGAGAAATACGCACTGGGGATGGCGGCGCGATGCTTTCATAAGCCGACACACCACGACGACCGGCTTTTCCTTGCGCGCCGTAATCATGCCAAATAATCCGACGAATATACGAAAATCGCGCGCGCGTCACATATCTCTTCTTTTCTTCCATTTGGCGCGAGACAGCGAGAAGAGAAGAGGGTTGCGACTTTGTCGACGAGCCTGGGAAAGAAGCATCGGCACAGGCGCAGCGCTAGCAGCACGCATCACGACGAAAGAGGGAACGTCCGCGGCGTCGGCGTTGATGCCGAGATAAGTGCCGAGCGGCGCGCAATAACGGGAACGATCTTTCCCGCGCGCAAGCGAGCGGCGCGAGAGCGAGACGAGTTTTCGCGAAAGCGCGGGCTGGACGATGACCCGCGCGCGTCTCTCGGCCGTTGACGAGCACCGTCCGGCCGAGCGATCGGGAAAGCGCCCCGATAAGCTTTTCGCTCTCGAGCCAACCGCTGCCCGAGATCGCTCTACAAGTTGCGCTCCGCTTCTGCCGTTATTTACGCAGTACACCGGACGTTGCCGATTCAGTTATGATGCGCGCGCGCTCGCTTTTTGTCAAATAACAAAAAGCTCGACTCTCAGCGCTTGACGCGAGCCTATACCATTTCGACGACAGCCCGAGCAAGTCGTAAAAGTGCAGCTTTGATTTAGTGGCGCTCGTAAATGTAAATTCTGCCCTTCTTACTTTTTTCCTCGTGTCAGGCGCGAAGACGACGTACGCTTCAATTTATTATATTACTTGCGCGAATTATGTCATGTGAATTTTCTTTTCGTTTTTCATGTCGAGTTCTCCTTGATGACATTAATGCACTTGTGAAAACAACTTATCAATTTTATATCTGCAACCTCAATGGAATAAGAAAAAAAAACTTGCTGTACTTGCATCGAATGAGCAGCGTTGAAATTCAAATTTGTCTTACTGTTATTACTTAGCTCGAGCATTTGTATTGTGCAATTTTTTTTCCGCCCAATTATGAACAGACAACGTAAAGACTGTGCATAATACGTCAGTGGAACTGGTACGTCGAGTAGTTGTGCGGTGGGGACTGAATTGCAAAATTGTTTTCGTAGATAATTTAAATGTGCCAATGTGTAGTTTGACGTTTGAAATATTAACGCGGTGCTTTCAAGGAGACTTGAAATACTAATGAAGCAGTGCTCACTTACGCGAACAATCGAAATTAAGATCTCCAAGACACAGAGGAAAGCAATGAGCAACGAAAGAGTGGCATATAAATCACCTGTTTGATGGCCTGTTGGAGTGGAATACCATGCTCTCTGAGGGTATGCTCGGTCAAGGCTGGTGCATGGCTAAGGGCCGCTTCGCTGACGACTCCGCTGCTTCCGGCAACAGCTGGATTATCGCTTCCGCCGTTACCGTTGCTCTCATCTTCCATGACCATCGGCTTCACTATGTACTGCTGCCTTCCCATCACCTGTAATTAAGATCGTCCATCTCGATAAGCATTTTTTAATAATAATCGTCTCTCGTATAACATCGCGCGCTTAAGCTCGCGCGCGCTTTTTTTTTTTTCTTTTTTGATTTACGACGCTAGGCGTGAAAAAATTGCGAGAGCACCATTATCTCCATGGGTACTTTTCGCTCTCCTTCTTTTTTTTCCTAATTGAAGGATAATGCTCGTAAGCTGGCCAACTAACTATTTGTTTTTTCTTCATTTGCCCTTCATATAAGCTTCAGTCGCAATAAATTGTCTAATGTAATCGCATAAATCTCTCGTCGGAGTGATGTACCGCGGAAAAAACAAATATGTATAACGTTAACGTTATAATTTACACTTTTTTGTTGTTGGAGATCACGTAATCCGCAACTACCGATAAGTGCACAACTTTTTCTTTCTACGCGTGTGACTCTGTGTGTGTGCAATCCGTAGAGTCCAGGAAAACCAGTCGTATGTTTCTTTCAAACGGATAGGCTTTTTGAATTAACGAGGACCACTACTACGTTGACGAAACAATAAATAAAACTTGTTTGCTAGTAATAATATAGCAGTGTTTGTTATTTAATTTCATGAAATCTTGTTCTTTTGATGTTGTTCGTTAAAATTTCATTGTACGGAATCGAGGACGAAAGAGGTTTGTCGCCTTACGCTTTGGTCATCAATGTATCAGACATGCGAGCGATTTATTTCTTTTTTTTCTTTAAAATTCATCTGCATCTGTTTTTGCTTGGGCACACTCTTCTACATCGATTGAAAAATAATTATAATACACCAGTTCTCAGCGTGCCGAACGTATAGGCTGCTTTTTCTGTTACAAACGTGTTACGTTTTACGTAAGCTGAAAAGTACTTGATAGGTTTACAAATTGACGTGGCTATACATAAGCCGACGTGTTAATTAAAATTTTCTCGATAAAGCGTACACGAGTAGGTCTACAAGAAGAAAAATTATTTAACGAAAGCCAACGTAATGTAATAATAATGAGGATGGAAGATTCGTCGAACGTCGAAGAAACAAAAGCAAGTTGTCCACCAGCAAGTACGCAGCAGCAGCGTTATCGCGAGCAAACGTGGCTTATATCGACGAGCAGGTTCTCGCTTGATATAACGGAATCCTTGCCACGAATGATCTGCATATCGGGCGCCACGGCGATTGGATCGTGCCGCGCGCGCACGCGTAGCAGAGGAAAAAAGGAGAGCCCCTGCAATTATGCTTCCATCGACGAGGCGCTCGAACGCCGTGCACCGCCAGATGCATATTCATAGGCGATCCGGCAACGGTAGCTCAATTGAAAAGTCGACCGAATTCGATGTCGGCTGTTTCATGCCTCATTTAGCCGGCGAGACCGCGGACGCGCCAAGTAGCCGGGCGATTTACGGTTTCCGCGAGCACCACGTGAAACCAGATACACGCGGCCGGCGCGTAGCCGTAGGAAGTGATCTCGCACGCGGGGACGTACGTCGACCGACTCGCCTGTAGTCCCTCGGCGCTTCTCCGATATCGCGTTGGCGCGAGCTTCTGCCCCATTATCGCGCGAAACCCATCTTTCCTCGCGCACGCCCGTATACGCGACGCCTCGCGAGCGCTAATTGGCTTAAGTAATGCGCGCGAACAATGAGTGGCTTTGGTAACGAGCGCCAGCGCGCCTTTTCAAATCGCATTTTCTCCGCTACTGACCCTCCGCGTATTCGAGCGTAAATCAATGCTTTCGTTTACGGTAAAAAAAAAATCTCAAATTACATACCCATCCCAGCGAATGTGCCTGCGTCAATTATTAACTGGAACGCCTCGCGTTCGATAGAAAGTTTCTCGGAGCCTCACATTGTTTCGCGTGAGATACTTTGTGTATTAGAACTATACGTTGATTTCCATGAAACCGTTAAGGATGCTCGCGATATAACGAGCTGAATCGTCGTTGTGTTGCATTATATTTTTAGAATCTTACGTGAGACGACAGGCAGTCTAGCAAAAACATGCGGCTTCCCCGCTGACGACTCGTGTTTAGTTCGATGCAAATCGTCCGAAGACGATTGGATGATGGTGTAATCAGTTCAAAAGTTTGCGCAAGAGCGAGTTTTAGAAAAGAGAGAAAAGACTCGCGGCGCGGTGGAACACACTTGAGCGATTATCATGTGAAAGGACGACGAAGAAAAGAGCCGAATGAAAAGAGAAGACCAGCGACAAAATGACTGACGAACTTGACCTTACATTCCGAAAGGCTGGCGTGCGATTGAAGCACGAAACAACCATTTTTTTCTTCGGATTCTCCGATGGAACTCGACGTTTCGAAAATGTCGCGTGTATCATTTTGGCGCGGATTAGAGAAACGAACGTCGTTTGAAATCTCGCGGGTCGATTGAAAGATTAGCATTAACAGACCAGCGACGACTTCAGTCTAGAATACAATTCCATACGCGCATGCATATCTTGCCGACTTATCACCGATATACCGATAATTTTTTAAGCCGACCGCTGTCACTTGTAATGCCGTGAATTTTTCTTCTCCCCCAAAGAAACTCCGACCGGCATCGTCATTCCGCCGAACCCTCGAAAGAACGGGCAAGCTTTTCAGCTCGGTACATTCGCAGAATGAGCAAGTGAACTCGTACACGAGCAGATAATAAATGTGCATTGATAAATTGTACAGCACTTAGTGACACACATCGCGTTGTGTCTGCCCACGCTTTAGCAGTGGGTCGTTGCGTAATGGAAAGTGCGGGCAAAAAGCTATACACGCGGCGGATTTATCGGCGCGAATCGCGTAGGTGATCGCCGCTCGCTCGCAGTCGCGACAAATATATGAGAGAGAGAGAGACTTCAGTGCGCGCTCGCGATAATGAAGTTCAAATCGAATTATCGTCGCGCGCACTGCGATTCGAGAGATAATTTCGCGCGCTATCGCCCGCGCGCGATTACATTCGCGATCAATTTCCAATTCTCGCAACGCAGATAATTGAACCGAAGCGATTTTTTTTTTTTTTTTTTTTTTTTTCACAAAATAATTGACACTGGTTGGGCAAGCAGCTTTTCCAGAAAATCAACAGCTCCTAGCGTACAGCGCTCGTATGCGCGATCAAATGAATCACGTCGCACGTGGGATTCCGGCCGAAGCCTGCGCTGCCGCGAGTTGCGAAACGAAACGAGCGTTCGACGACGCGCGCGGTCGCGCAGTGGCTGCTCGAGTGTGCGCACCCCTCGGGAAAGCGTTGATAACGAAAATGATCGTTGCGCAAGATCGATATACGGACGAGACGGTGACAGCATCGACCGCGCACGGGCGCGACATTACGATGCAGCCGCGCGTAAATACGGCGGTACGCGCGAGTGGGCTTTTCGAGTTGGTCTGAGTGGACTTTAGCATAAAAGGCGTTTTTCTATGCTAATGACGTGAGTAGCCGCGCGCGTACGGCTTGCCGAGCTGAGCGAATGAAATTCGTAAACGGCATCGGCAAAAAGTCCGCCCGAAGCCGTGTTACAAACGTCGACGCGCGTCGCAGCTTCTCCGTACAATATTGGTATATATTTCAAGGCTGCCGGCTGCTTTGCCGGGCAGCGTTCGTCTTCTTGCAAATTCGCATTGTGCTCCGCAACGCGAAGTCGATCTTTTGTTTTGTTTTGTTTTTTTTTCTCGCAAATGTCACAATTGTTGCGCCTCGAAAGTTTCTCAACAGTGCCAATTAGGTGGCATTCTCCAGGGCGATGGAATCGACCGATTCAGAGCGAACGGCGCCAATTAAACCCGCGCGACGATATCGCGTCGTGGGCTTTTGTCAGCGTCTACAGCTGTCGGTTTTATTATTGATGTCGCGTTCGCGCCGCCCGCGTGCGCTTCACGGCCGGAAGCCAAAGCAGCGAAACCCGCATTGACCCCAACACATTGTATACAATGAGAGCATAACACGCACGATTCACTTTCCAGTCGTCGTTGTCGAATGACTTTCGGTCAATATAATCTCACCTTGATATGTGCGCTCGAAACTAACAACACGTATACTCCAAAAACCCACAGCAGTCGGATGCGTATTACAAAATTAACGATGTACCGTGCAACTTGGTCGAGCGATATCGCTGCAAATAACATCTTCTCCTTGTCGGTGAATATGATTGGGTCGTTATTGATAATTTCAAGATATTTGTACGATTATGAACCTTCACCTTGACCAGTCGATTCTTCGTGCGACATGTAATTTATAATTGAGTTATTTTAAGTAATTGTATTAGCACGGAATGATTATCAGAGCACGATAAAAAAAAGCGCGATGTAGAAATTCTGCAAAGTAATTAAGATTTTAGATTATTCATATTCGAAAGAAAATGTTTTTATGATATTAATATAGCTGAAGGATGATTGAATGTAATAATTAAACCCTAAAATAACTTGAGAACGTTCGGATCAACGTTCAGATTATGACGTGTGAATCATAAATTTAAACAAAAACTTTTATTCGATGAATAGAATGAAACAAATTGGCAAATTGGGCAATCAAAACTTTTAGACTTGATGTGCATGCCATCTAAACTTTTTTGCATTTATGACCTAAATTGGTAACGTGCTTTTGGATAAACTTTAAGTAAATGATCTGCATCCTAGTCACGTTTCAAACGTTTCCTCATCAACAGCCTGAATAATTGTTTTAACAGCACAGACACGTAAGTTTTTATGTAGAATTGTAATGAATCATCTCTCGTAAACAGAATGTTGAATTATCGTGAAAATGATTTTTTATTGAATTAATGACACAAATACATAACGAAGTAAGGTTGTGAACATTGATTTATCTTATTTTTCGCATGAACTTTGCGCAGAATTTTTTATCTTGCCATCGGAGCAGTCGTAGAATTTAAAATACACGTGTAAGAAACGTAATAACTCACGAGTAGCGTACAAAACTCTCAGGTATTCCGCCGGACAGCGAAAATTATTTCCATCCAAAACTAAGTGTCCAACGTCAAAGGTAAGTGAAATAACGGCTAGA